CGACGCTTCACCGGTACTACGCATTAAATGGGACGCAGTATACGCCCGCAAGTACCGCATGCATCCCATATCCTTACGCGAATCAATGCCTATCGATACCGTGATCAGGCGAGCCCGTCCGCGCCTGTGAATATTCGACCGGGACCCGGCCTACCGTACATATGGCCATTGGGGGCAGAAATCACAGATTTGACCTGAGGCAGAAATCAAATCACAAACTGACCTGTTTAGGAAAAAATTTCACTCTGCTGACCCTTTGGTGTGGCGCCCGACATCTGGGCGCCGCACCCTACTGTGCAGCGCCTTCCCCTTAGGCGTCGCACATCCTGCCAGCGTGGCAGCCCTGGTCCAGTTGCGGCCCCACACGCACTTGTGCAGCGCCTAAGAGCTAGGCGCCCCACTTTGACGTGCAGCGCCTAACCCTTGGGTGCTGCACAGTGACTTAAGCGCGGCCGCCCCAGCCCGACCAGGCAGTTCTTCATCTCTCTGCTCTCTGTACAGAGAGCAGCGGCGGCGGCGGCGCCCCCATCTAATCCCCCCACATCCTTCTCAGATCTGAAGATTTGATCCGTGGATTCGATCCCCAATCCATCCTACTAGGTAAACTCTTCCCTTCTCTTTCTTTTGCTCCGTAAATTTGTTGCCATTCTAGAGATTTGTCCATGATTTGATGGAACCCTTGATTTGTTTGGTTTGCTCGATTTAGGATGTGTATTCATATTGGTAGTACCGTAGTGTTATTTATTAGTTCACAATATATGATTCTTGTTGTTGAAACCCTAGATTGTTTAGTTTTTTTAGATATATATGAGATGCCTATTTTTGTTTAGTTTATTTGAGATGAAGATGAACTTTTATATGTTTATTGTTTGAAATTGTAAGGATGGTTTGGCTTCTGGACGATGTCTACGACGTGCAACACCGGACCTACATGATGCGCGAGAAGGATAAGGTAATAATGAGTAATCTAAATATTTTGCAAATTTGCCTTTAGTTGAAATTTGCATGCCCTAAGATTTGTCATTACTTGTTTTTTGCAGAAGCTTGAACCTTTGAAGATTCGGTATCACGGGGTCTCTGGTCCTGCCATGCCTTACGATGAGCGGTACACACCGTACATCAAGCAGGCAGGACTACTCCCGTGGATTCTGTTGGTCAGCCGGTCCACGCCGAATCTGAACGCTCTACTGGTGTACGCTCTTGTTGATCGGTGGAGGCTAGAGACACACAATTTCCATCTTCGGACCGGGGAGATGACCGTGACGCTCGAGGATGTCTCGTTGATCACCGGTCTTGCTATCGACGGGAGGCCTCTATGTATGAGCACCGATTCTGATGGGTGGCGCGAGCAGATGATTGCTCTTATCGGTATGGATCCTACCGAGGCTGAGGATGATGTAGAGGAGGGAGAAGAGAAGAAGAAGAGGGAAAGGAAGGCAGCCGGAGCTGCTTTCACGTGGATTCAAAATAACTTTGCGACGTGCCCTCCGGATGCAACTGATGATGTGATCCAGACACATGCTCGTGTGTATATGTGGTACATTGTGTCGAGGACTTTGTTTCCTGACTCCACTAGCAAGAACGCTCCATGGATGTGGCTGAAGGCGTTGACCGTCTTCGATAGCAAATGGAGTTGGGGTTCAGCGACTCTTGCCTACTTGTACCGACAGGTAGTTGGTTTGTTTTGTGATCAACTCATTTATTCATTAGCAATGCAAGCTTGCTGTTAAGTTAACATTGTTTTTCTTTCATATGTAGCTGGATGATGCATGTTGCAGGATCACACCTAGTGCTTGTGCTTATCCTTGAAAGCCCGACCTCCGTGTTGGCGGCCATCGTTTGTAGTTTCTCCGGGCTCTGTCACCTCATACTTCCACTCGTTGTCGTCATATAGTACAGCTTCTTCGGAGTCTGCCTTTCGTGATTGAAATTCCAACCATTCTTCGACCTTTGGTGGGAAATTGTACTTGTGCTTATCCTTGTTCTCACCAGCAATCTGTTTATCAGTCTCCATTGAGTGCTTTAAAAAGTATTCATTCAACTTGTCAAATGTGTATTGAACTATTGCCGTCATGGGTAATGCACGTACACCCTTGAGCACCTTATTGAAGCATTCTGCCATATTGTTTGTCATTTGACCGTACCTCCGGCCATCTTCATCGAAAGCACGTGCCCACATATTCCTTTCGGCAATGTTCTTATTCAGAAACTCCTGACCGCCGGGGTCAAGTTTCTTGTGTCTGAGCAATGCATTGAACAATGTGGAAAACCACTTGTTGGTGAAAGCGAGACAACAATCCTGAAGATCATCGGCCAACTCCTTGATACCACATGCCCTATAGAAGTTTGCACAAAAGTGCCTCATGCACCATCGATGATGCAACTTTGTATGTCCGGGAATGTCAACCACCACCGCATTTAGAATTCCAGGATGGCGATCCGATATGACACAAATTTCCCTTTCAGCAGGTAATACCCTTGTTCTCAGTTGATGCAAGAACCACTCCCAGTTATCATTGTTCTTCACCTCAACCAAAGCGAAAGCCAAAGGCAACACCCGGTTATTGGCATCACTTGCTATTGCAACCAATAAAGTGTCCTTGTATTGTCCGGTCAAGAACGTGCCATCAATGACGATGACGGGCCGACAATGCTCAAAAGCCCTCACGCATTGCTCAAAGGCCCAAAATGCACGGCCAAATACTCGGACGGTCCTCCCGTTATGAATCAATGTTTGATGCCCATGAGGCTCAACCACGTGAACCATGCCTGGGCTTGTGGCGGCCATAGCTAACAACAACCTAGGGAGTCGGTTGTATGCTTCCTCCCAATTGCCATACAACATCTTGAATGCGGCTTGCTTCGCCTTCCATGCCTTGCCGTACTTCACCTTGTAATGAAAGATGGCTTTCACAAGGTCAATGACACTCTTGATGCTCATTGTTGGAAGTGTGGACATTTGGTTGGATATCCTGTAAGCAATGAACTCGGACGTGAGTTGTCTGTGTTGTTGGTACACAAGCTTGCCATCCGCATTCTTGTGCCGGCACATGTGAGTTGGTAGACAACTCACTATGCGCCAAGTGGGACCTCCTTTCCATGGCCTTGCACGCACAATCCATGGACATGTTGGCACTTCACATTTGACCGTGTAACGCACATTCACGTCCGAGTTGGCCACTTTATGTGGACGATAATGTGTAACCGAGTAGTTGTCGAGCCACATCTTCAATTCCAAGAAGGATTGAAACTCACAACCGGGATACATCCCGTTCTTGCCGTCTTCCAAATCACGGTGAGAACTTGGCCTAGCTCCAAGAGATATGCATTTCCACCATCCACAACGGCTTCATCCGCGAGACTAAGATCCTTGAACAATGGTGTCTTGTGATCCCGCCCGAATACCTTCTTGAATGCTTCGGCCTCCTTCGGTGTGAACCCCTCCTCATCAACTTCTTCATCAGGACCATCGTCATCCGAGTCCGATGCATATGCACGGGAAAAAGGGATGGATTGGTCCATTGTCTCTTGCACATGATATTGGTCGAGATCACCCACATTGTTGTCATGGAGGTCAACTTCGTTGTCATCCTCCTCGTACTCATCATTCTCCTCTTCAAAACCTTCATTTTGGTTGTTTGGAGTCGGGCTCAATGTTGGCCAATCTTCTTGCGTGAATTGAGGTTCACTCATTTGATCTTGGTTCATGGGTGGGGGAGTGCTAGCAACCAACGGGGAGGGGTTCCGGTTCAAGTCTAAATTCAAAGTAGACTCAACCTTCTTGGAGGCAAATAACTCAAGAGCCTTGTCTAGAGATTCCGCAACCGTCTCCTTGTATGCAACCCAACGTTGCTCGGAGTTCACACGCATTGTCTTCCAACGGATGCGCATTCCTAAACCAACATTATGCCTTCCCTCGAACTCAACAACATCACTTGGGTCCATCCAATTCAAATCTTTCCTCACTTGTTTCAAAAGCTCCGCATAGCTAGGACTACTCTCAAACACCATGTCAAGCTCATCCGGGTCCGTCTCAACATTGCCTTTCAAAAAGGCCTCTTTATCCACATGATGAACATAAACACATGTTCTCCCCATCCCTACAATAATCAAAGACACACATATATCAAGTAAATACTTAAGAAAAATATTTGCACACATATGCCCTAACATATATATGAATTAATAACCCTAACCCCCACATAACAATAACCACAACCCTAACACCAACATAACCCTAACACCAACATCAAACACACATAACCCTAACCCTAGCATACTATGGAAGCCTAAACAACCCAAATTAGCAAAGAAATATAACATCATTCAACACAAATTTCCAAATCCTATCAAAATCTAGGGTTTCCCCAAACTAGCAAGATTTGAGCAAATGTGACAATTCCTATGGATGAAAACGAGGGGATCGGAAGAGATTACCTTAAGGGAGGGGTTGGCTTCGAAATCCACGGTGTGTGGCGGATTTGCAAGATTTGAGAAGGATTTGAGAGGGGGGAGAGGGGAAGAGAGGAGGGCCGCAAGTCTAAGGGTTTGGGTCGGGTGGGGGTGTGTGGGGTGGGGGTGGGAGGGGAGAGAGGGTGGGGCCAGCCCAAGTGGAACACAGACTGTGCAGCGCCCAAGAGCTAGGCGCTGCACATTACAGGTGTGTGGCGCCTAGATCTTAGGCGTTGCACAGGTGCGTGTGGGGCCACAACTGGACCAGGGCTGCCACGCTGGCAGGATGTGCGACGCCTAAGGAAAGGGCGCTGCACAGTAGGGTGCGGCGTCCGGCTGTCGGGCGCCACACCAAAGGGTTAGCAGAATGAAATTTTTTCGTGACCAGGTTAGTTTGTGATTTGATTTCTGCCTGAGGTCAGATATGTGATTTCTGCCGCCATTGGGCTCGATCCAACCCGCTAGCTGGGTGCTTCCTCGGTTCTTCCGGCTAAAGTGGTGTCGTCTCCCTCCTCGCCTCGGCGGCGTTGACTCTGGCTAGCGTCGCCATGAACTCTCTACTTCTCAGGCCGCTCCCGAGCGCGACCACGAGCGGGAGCCTGGTCGGTCGGGTCTCCCCGGCGGCGCCGAGGCGTCCCGGCGCGGTGGCGTGGCCCCGCGACGGGAGATGCCGTCGCGGCGGCGTTGCAGCGGCGGGGGCGTGGATGGAGGAGGCGGGGACGGCGGTGCTTGAGGAGGCTGCGCGGAGGAACCCGGCGTTGTCGGAGACTTACCGGCCGGCGGGGCTGCCCCGGCCCAACGGCACGGTGCTGGAGGCGCAGGGGCGGGTGTGCACGGGGCCCGAGCAGACGCGGCCGCTCGGGGAGGAGCTGGCCATGCGCGTCCTCGATACCATCCTCCGCTCCGGTGAGCCTCCCCCCACTCTTCTGAGGCTTCGTTTTCGGTGATCGCTAGCTTCGATTCTGCGTTTCTGGCAACATTTTGCGCCGCTAGCGAGCATTCTTTGTGGATTTTCACATGTAGATGATGTACTTCTGATGAGATAGCTCCACAAGTCACTCATGTGTGCTGCTGCCTGTAGAATGTAAATTGGCTAATTTTGCTTACAAGTGCTGCTTTCATTGGCATCCATGGTGATTGATTGTGACTTGTGAGTGACTGGAATTTAGAAGTTTGCTGCAAGCCTGATGCCTGCTTTCTGTTGTCCTAGACACATTGTAGAGTTCAAGTCAGATCATGGCATCTACTCAATTGTTATTGTTTACAATTTGCTAGTAAGGTTTTATTTGAAATGCACTGATAGGTCTGCTTCTGAATCTGTTTATTTTCATCGCCTTCCATCAAGTTTCATGTTATATCTTCTGTTTGAACTCATGTGTAGCGACGGGGGAACTCAAGGACGAGCCGGTGTCCAGTGCACAGCTGGGTGCATTCTTTGCTGGCATGACAATAAGAGCTAATTGTTTTCCGGAGGCCACCCAATGGAGTGAGGGGGAGCGACGTGCCATGAGCCTATTCTGGCCACGCCTTGTGCATGTTCTTCCTCCGGAGGTGAAGTTTATAGCAGACCCTGAAGGAACGATCATGGGAGCAAATGGTTTAACAGGACCTCGTTATATTGGTCAAGGAACTGCAGAGATGAGACTCGTTGGTGCTTTGAGGGAAGTGCTTGCTGGTGGCCATTTAGGTTATGAGGAAATTCAGTGTGTACTAAAGGATGTTCTACCATTTGGATCGATGGGTGCAAGTTCACCATCAGTTAGTGAAGCACTGCTAGCAGCATTTTTAATTGGACAGCGGATGAATAGGGAAACCGATCGTGAGCTAAAAGGATATTGTCTAGCCTTTGATGATGAACTAGGTAGCACTAAGTGGGCTTATTTTTCTTAAACTGTGTAGAAAAAACAAAACAATTTCATTAACACCACTTTTTATCAGGCCCTCCCCCAATTGCTGATGTTAATTCCTTGACACACTATGGTGAGCCCTATGATGGGAATACACGCTTCTTTAGGAGTACTCTGTTCGTTGCGGCGGTTAGAGCCTGCTATGGTGAGGCTTGTCTCCTTCATGGCGTTGAATGGATGCCACCTAAGGTCAGTGTGAAACATATGCTGCAGCAGTCATCGTACATAAGAGTATTCTTAGTATCAATCTTGTGGTTTGATGGCAGGCTTATCTGTTATATAATGTATGAAAATCCTGTGTATTATTTAAAATCAAGGTTTTCAGGGTGGCATAACAGAAGGGCAGATGCTTAAATTCATGGGTGCAAACACACACTTGTCTCCTACACAGGCCAAAACACTATTGGAGGTGTGTGTGCGGTTCTGCATACTTTGCTGACAACCTTCTATATTTTACTGCTGGTTGCATCTGACACATTGAATGTTTGGTTGCTTTCAGGATAAGGATACTGGCTTTGCATATCTGAATCTCCAAGAAGCTTGCCCACCATTGTAAGTCCACATTTTCTTGGTAGCTATGTACCAATGTCTCAAGGCATTGTTGATTGAACACTCCTGCAGATGTTCCATTTTGGACGGAAACCGGCTTGCATATTAGAAATAGCAAGAACCTTATATACTTTCAGTGTGAAATCATCTCTTTGATTTGACCTGTAATCCTGTATTAAAACAAATCATTTGGTCAGGTAAGTTAGTGGTATACTCGTCTTGCATGCAAAGGTGTTTACTTACTTGGTGCTACTGTAGATATTCGATTATCGGGCTCAGGGAGCATATTAAGAAAAGACCACCGTTGGCTACCTCTGAGAAAGTTCAACAATTTGTGAGAGTGAGTAACTCTTCCCATTGTGTGTTATTGTAAGAAGTTAAGAACTGATATCATGAGAGCAATTCTATGATATAGTAATTGTTCAACTCTATGTATTGGTATGCTATATTTACAGTAATAATTTATGCTTATTATGCAGAGATATTGCTCACAATTTCACAGCTGCCAGACCTTCAATATGTTAGAGTTGTATTAAGTGATGTCTTTTGGCCTTTTACATTCTAGTCTCTTGGCATCCTCTTGAAGCCTTTTGGCATTCTCATGTATGTGTATATATGTTGGCATTGGCCTCCTAATAATATAAGCTGCATATTTCCAACATGGTATTAGAGCTCTAGGTTTTTTTTACGCACGCGCACTCGTGCTCTCCCCGATCCAAAATTCCCGTCGCTGTTCGTCTCTATCCAGCCGATTGCTGCTCCTAATCCCCTGTGCACATGCCCATGCCGCCGTAACTCCCCTGCCTAGATCGAGCCGCCCTGATTTTCTCCACTAAGAATGCCCAGATCCTAATCCCATTCGATCCGTCGGCCGCCACTAACCTGATTCCCGCCGTCGGCCGCCTCCAGATCGGGTGGTGGCTCGCCCGCCTCCTCTTGGCTGGCCCTGGCCTGCTTGGGTGTCCTCTGCACACCCGCTGCCGGCCGCCGGCTCCTGGCCTGGTTTGGCCTCGCGTGGCACCCGCGGCTACGGATTTCTCCGACGGCCGCCACCCCGCGACGTCTCTGATCATTCTCCTGATTATTCTGCTCTTCAGATGTTTGGTTGTGTTTGTTATGTTCTCCTTGCCCCCCAAGAACGCACCAAACTAAGCGCTCAGTCTGTCGAGTGTGTTTTTTTGGGCTACAGTGATGAACATAAGGGTTATCGGTGTTGGGATCCTGTCGGTCGACGGATGCGTATTTCTAGGGATGTGACTTTTAATGAGTCCCGTCCATTCTACCCGCGACCATCCTCTTCGACCTTTTCAGTAGAGGATATCTCTTTTCTCACGTTTCCTGATACACCTCCCTCTTTGCCTCATATTCCTACTCCTCCTCGTCCCACTATTGCAGATCCGACACCACCTTCTCCTATCGTATCTTCTCCTTCCTAATTGCATGACACTCCACCTTCATCACCGATGTCTTCTCCATCTCCATCACCTCCGATGGTTCCTTCCCGTCCCACTTGTCCTTTTCATTATACCCGTCGTCGATGTGTTATGGATGTATCTACTGACGTGCCATCTACTTCTGGTGCACCGTCTTCCTCCTCCCAGCCGACTTATGGTCTTCGGGCTCGACCTTGCCCTCCTCCTGACCGCTATTATCCTAGCCGATATGGACTTTCGGTTGTACTTGAGCCTACCTCTTATCGTGATGCTGTTGTTCATCCTGAATGGCAGTTTGCGATGGCAGAGGAGATTGCCGCACTTGAGCGCAACGGCACATGGGATCTGGTTTCTCTTCCTCCCCGTGTTCGTCCCATCACTTGTAAGTGGGTCTATAAGATTAAGACTCGCTCTGATGGTTCTCTCGAGCGTTATAAAGCTCGTCTTGTGGCTCGCGGCTTTCAGCAGGAGCATGGTCGTGATTATGACGAGACATTTGCTCCTGTGGCCCATATGACCACTGTCCGCACACTTCTCGCCGTGGCCTCTGTTCGCCACTAGTCCGTGTCACAGCTTGATGTTAAAAATGCCTTTCTTAATGGTGAGTTGCATGAGGAGGTTTATATGCAGCCACCACCTGGGTATTCAGTTCCCGCTGGCATGGTTTGTCGTCTTCGTCGCTCTCTCTATGGCCTAAAGCAAGCCCCTCGTGCTTGGTTTGAGTGTTTTGCCTCTGTGGTCACCGCTGCTGGTTTTTCACCCAGTGATCATGATCCAGCGTTGTTTGTCCACCTTTCTGCTCGTGGTCGCACTCTTCTTCTTCTATATGTTGATGACATGATCATCACTAGTGACGATTCTGAGTACATTGCCTTTGCCAAGCCCGTCTTAATGAGCAGTTCCTTATGTCTGATCTTGGTCCTCTTCGTTACTTTCTTGGGATTGAGGTTTCCTCCACCTCTGCTGGCTTTTTTATTTCCCAAGAAAAGTATATCCAGGGTCTTCTTACTCGTGCGGCTCTTAGTGATGAGCGCACTGCTGAGACTCCTATGGAGCTCAATGTTCACCTTCGTGCTTCTGATGGTGAGCCCTTGTCTGACCCGACACGTTATCGTCATCTTGTTGGGAGTCTTGTGTATCTTGCTGTCACTCGTCCGGATATCTCCTATCCTGTCCATATTCTAAGTCAGTTTGTTTCTGCTCCCACTTCAGTTCACTATAGTCACCTTCTTCGCGTTCTACGATATCTTCGTGGCACGATCTCTCATCGTCTCTTTTCCCCCCGTTCCAGCTCGTTACAGCTCCAAGCCTATTCGGATGCTACGTGGGCTAGTGATCCTACGGATCGCCGTTCACTTTCTGCCTACTGTGTCTTTCTTGGTGGTTCCCTCATTTCCTGGAAGACGATGAAACAGATTGCAGTTTCTCGTTCGAGTGCAGAGGCCGAGTTGCGAGCTATGGCTCTTCTGACGGCTGAGGTGACTTGGTTACGATGGTTATTGGAGGATTTTGGTGTTTCTGTTACTACACCTACCACCCTCCTATCAGACAGCACAGGTGCTATTAGTATTGCGCGGGACCCCGTGAAGCATGAGCTTACCAAACACATTGGTGTTGATGCTTCTTATGTGCGCGCTGCTGTGCATGATCATGTTGTTGCTCTTCAGTATGTGCCTTCTGAGTTACAGCTTGCGGACTTCTTCATGAAGGCTCAGACTAGAGCGCAACATGGGTTTCACCTCTCCAAACTCAGTGTTGTGGATCAACCATGAGTTTGAGGGGGGGTGTTAGAGTTGTATTAAGTGATGTCTTTTGGCCTTTTACATTCTAGTCTCTTGGCATCCTCTTGAAGCCTTTTGGCATTCTCATGTATATGTATATATGTTGGCATTGGCCTCCTAATAATATAAGCTGCATATTTCCAACACAATAAACTATTTATACAAATATGTAGTGCAACCTAATGTTTCCCTTTAATAGTAAGTTGACTGCCAGTTTAAAAACTTACGTTTGCAAAGTGTTTCCTGGGATGATATTTCATTTTCATACAAATTGTTAAAATATTGTTTTGAATACAGCAAGTAAAGATGACTGGAGTTATTTCTTTTTAATTATTCAATTCCACGTCATTGAAGGTATTAGACATATCTTATAGGTATCACCTACTTTATGAGATTATAGGAGTATCTGTTGAGAAGTGTCGAAATGTCTTTTTGTTATTTGGTCATCTACATATCTGTTCTGTTGTAAAAGTTGCAAATGCTGCTTCACTTAATGCTACTGGTTTATGTCTTTATTTGTTTTTCACCAGGCACGGGGAAGGGAGTCAATGGTTGCTGGATTTTATCATGTGGGCTATGAAGATCCATTGCTTATGCTTATGAGAAGGAGAACTGTTCATGCTGGATTAGTTGTGAAGGTAATTATTATTTTTTCCTTTCTTTCATGCCATGAGGGTTTGAACTTAATGTTACTGTTATTTGTTTGCCCTACCTAACCCAAATTTATTACCCCCTCCGATCCATATTAATTGTCGCTGCTTTAGACAAATTAATATGGATCGGAAGGAGTATTATTTATGTGATTTTCTTAATAACTCACTTGTGGAAAACTTAGCCTGTTTGCATCAATATCATTTTGAGTGCCATTTCTCATGGATAGAATTTTCTCTGGATTTTTGGATCCAATACAGTTCTCTCCCTCTATTCTTCTTATCTGAATGCATATCTGGTCGTTAAATACCATTCATTTCTCAATTTTTTGTTTTTTACTCCTGCTAAGACAAATTTATGGTATCCACTTAGGGCGAGGAAGGTGCACTTTCTTTGACAACCAAAGAAAGATCGGCCCATGCTTCCAAAGGGATTCCAGTGAACCACTGCTCGGGGTTCCGGACACCAAGCAGCGCAAACTTCTCCGAAACTGACGGTACAAACATGAAACCCACCACCCTTTTTATTACTTATATATTCACGGTGGTCACTATCATGTATATTGGAGATGGCAGGGATTTTCAATTAGGACAGCCTGCTCTGATTTGTGAATGTCCGAGAACTTGGTTATGATATGATTCCAGTCTGAGCTTATCTCGTGTATCTTACAGGTATTTCTAGAGAAAGCTTCAGAGTTGCTGTGAATGCTCAGGAACTTGGTTTCAAGTCCACCGAAACTCCAAGAACTGATAAATCAGTAAGTCCTTTTTCCATGGCTATGGTCGCTGCTATCTCCATTTCAAATTTCTACTACCGCGTTCCAATCAAGGACACCTCATTCAACTTGTTAACGCCATGTGTTTTCTCTATGCATAGTTGTTATTATTTTTAACTTACTGTGTTGCCAAACTGAACCAGGTACTGAAAAACTTGGAGCTGGGTTTGTCAGCGCTGGGTGGAGACAAAGGGCCTGCTTATGACCGAATAGTTCTTAACGCAGCTATGGCTGACCACTTGTTAGGCTGCAGCGGAGCTCAGGATATCAACTCCGCGCTTGACAGGGCAAGAGAAGCCATCGACAGCGGTAATGCTCTGAGAAGGCTCATGAACTACATAAAAATCTCGCACAAGGTGTCCTAGCTAGCCGCAGCCGTGTGCTGACTGTACAATTTTGGTCCCAATATATACTCTGCCTTTCTCAACTGGGAAATCGCCTTACACGCCACTGGAAAATTTTGTAACCCCTCGTCATGGTAGTGTCACTGAGAAGGTAGTGTCACTGAGAAGGTAGTGTCACTGAGAAGGTGGGGCCAGGCCCCACATGTCGTTGACGCAAGCGATGAGAAAGTATTGCAGTGGCAAAGAAAGAGATTTGTCTTTCAGTTTGCTCAGTTGACACGGAGTGTGGACTTGCGCGAATGCTCTCTTACCAGGCCTTGTTAATAAATTAAGTTTAACCGAAAGGAATCACAGTTTGTTGAGGATTTTATTTGCGGTGAGAAATACTTGGTTAATCTAATGTTGGTCATGTCATCAGAGGGGGCGATGATGTGTATAAACATATGCAAACTATGTTCTTGAGATGTGGCTGTGTGAAATGCTGAACACTTGCATCAGCTGTGAAGGTTGGATGTGTTATATTTTGTTTTCGTTAGTGTTTTTTATAATGGCTTGACTATTTACTCAGTTGTAGAATGTTTATTGTAAATGAGTCGCATGCTTAGTGCACCTTAAGATGGGTTTTTCTCCATGCGTGTGCATGATGACATGATGAGTTGATGAATTGACATAGTTCCATATTGAAAGAGTTAGAATATAGTTAGTTGGATTTGATAAACTATAGGGCAAGTCCAACGCCATGCTCCTTCTGCTATCATCACTGAATTTTCTGAAGTTGTGGAGCACAACAACATTGTGGAGCCAGAGTACCCTGTCTTACTTGCTCAGTTGGAGAATGTGCTCCCCACCAGTAACTCCCAAGTCCTTGGTGATCCTACCGTTACGAGCTCTGCAATCAATGCCTCACCTGCTGTCAACAAGCGCAAGAAGGTCAACGCTCCTTTTGGATGTCCTTGAGCTACGCCGCATCCGCCGTTTAGCTAGTCTCAGTGTGGGTTTCAAAGATAAGGTGGCAGCTACCAAAGCCAAGAACCTAATCAACTGCAAGAAAAACCTCTCTGCTGAATTTGAATATGAACTCCCTGATCCACTGGCTGCGCCCCCACCTAAACTTTCACTGGCTACCATCCAAGCCATTGCCACGAAGCAGTGTCAGGTCCCTCCTGAGAAGGTCTCTGGGAGCTACTGAAGGCCACTGTTGATCATGAATAATTTTAGCTATCTTTCTTATTGGTCTTGTAATAGTGTCGAGACCTCCTTAGACCTTTCGTCCTTTTGTTGTTATGTCAGACTCGGTTGGTCTTTATGCTATGTTGAACTCATGCTTTTGGTTTGTAAGGAGTTATACTCCATAATAAGGCGCTTTTATCATGATATTTCATACTTCTTATCTTATCACTATGAGCGAATGGTCATGAAAAGTTTATTCTGTTGTATTGCTCTGTGTTGATCTGGTTATGTCCTTGGGTTGAATTTGTTTGCCACCAACATTACCAGCAGTCAGTTGTTGCAGGGATGATCAAGTCATCACCTGGATATGAGCACATCCCACAATATTTTTATTATGAATAGATCATGGAATATTCTCAACTGGAATGTAAGAGGGATAAATTCTCAAACTAGATGGGGTGACTTAAGATCAAAAATTGAAGAGAGTAACTGTGGCATTATATGTATAAAGGAAACTAAAAGAGACACTTTGATCTGACATACCTCAGAAATTTCTCCCCCAGAAGATATAATCAATATGCATACAACCCTTCTGTTGGAAACTCCGGAGGTTTAATCACTATCTGGAATTGTAGTCTATTCACTCTATCTATCATCAGCCAAACTAGCTTTCATATTACTGTCAAACTAGCTTGCAACTTATCTGGACACATCTTTCATATCACAAATGTATATGGCCCTTGTCACAATGAAGACATAGCTGACTTTTTCAATTGGTTGAATAATATGGATGCCACCCTTATGGATCCCTGGATGCTTGTTGGTGATTTCAACCTGATCAGAAGGCCACATGATAGAAACAGACATGGAGGAGACACAAATAACATGTTGTTTAATAATCTTATTCTGGATCTTATGGAAATACCATTAAAGGGCAGAAACTTTACTTGGAGTAATATGCAAGATTTGTCACTTCTGGAGAAACTTGACTGGATATTTACTTCTGCTAATTGGACTTTATCTTTTCCTAATACAATGGCTCATCCACTAGCCAGAATTCATCTGACCATGTTCCCATCCATATTCAAATTAGCAGTGACATCCCAAGAGCCTCTATCTTCAGGTTTGAAAATTATTGGTTTGAGTTTGATGGATTTTATGAGATTGTGATACAATGCTGGAACAGAAATCAACAACTGAGTAATTCTGCTAAAGATGTCTCTCCCAGATTTAAATGTCTCAGACAAGGTTTAAGAAAATGGAGCAGTAACCTTTCCAGACTGAACACCACTATTGCTGCTTGCAACTTTGTTCTCACCATGTTGGATGGTATTGAGTTACAAAGGCCACTTTCTGTTATGGAATCTAATTTCAGGAAAATACTGAGAAAACACACCTCCAAACTCCTGGAAGCAAAATGAATTTATTGGAAGACCAGATTCAAAATGAGAAGTGTCAGACTTGATGATGAAAACACTGATTTTTCCATGCCATGGCAACTTAGAGTTTCAGGAAGAATTACATTACTTGCATCCTCAATGATGATGGCATCACATACCAAAACCATGATCATAAAGTTGCCATCATCTGGCAATCTTACAAAGACAGACTTGGCAAATCCATTAACCCTACTATTCTTTTCAACCTTGATGAACTCATCTAGTCTCATGATCTCTCTGATCTAGATGCACCTTTTTCCATTGATGAAATTGAGGCAGTTGCTAAAGATTTCCTTGCTGACAGAACACTAGGGCCTGACGGTTTCAATGGATTATTCTTGACAAAATGCTGGAATTTATTAAACAGGATTTCTACACTATGATTTGGGATTTCTTTGAGAGCAATTGTGATATTCAAAGCATCAACCACTGCATTTATCACCCTCATTCCTAGAAGTGTTGATCCTGAGACAATATCTGCAACAAATTATTTAGTAGCAAAGTAGTATGGAAGTAACGGTAACAGTAGCAAAAGTAACGGTAGCAGTTTTGTAGTAATTGTAAGAGTGGCAACAGTAAAGTAACTAAGCAAAGAGCAATATGTGAAAAGCTCATAGGCATTGGATCAGTGACGGATAATTATGTCGGATGCGATTCCTCATGTAATAGTTATAACATAGGATGACACAGAACTAGCTCCAGTTCATCAATATAATGTAGGCATGTATTCTGAATATAGTCATACGTGCTTATGGAAAAGAACTTGCATGACATCTTTTGTCCAACCCTCCCGTGGCAGCGGGGTCCTATTGGAAACTAAGGGATATTAAGGCCTCCTTTTAATAGAGTACCGGACCAAAGCATTAACACTTAGTGAATACATGAACTCCTCAAACTACGGTCATCACCGGTAAGTATCCCGATTATTGTCACTTCAGGGTTAATGGATCATAACACATAATAGGTGACTATAGACTTGCAAGATAGGATCAAGAACTCACATATATTCATGAAAACATAATAGGTTCAGATCTGAAATCATTGCACTCGGGCCCTAGTGACAAGAATTAAGCATATCAAAGTCATAGCAACATCAATCTCAGAACATAGTGGATACTAGGGATGAAACCCTAACAAAACTAACTTAATTACATGGTAAATCTCATCCAACCCAGCAAGCCTACGATGGAATTACTCACACACGGCGGTGAGCATCATGAAATTGGTGATGGAGGATGGTTGATGATGACGACAGCGATGGATCCCCCTCTCCGGAGCCCCGAACGGACTCCAGATCAGCCCTCCCGAGAGAGTTTAGGGCTTGGCGGCGACTCCGTATCGTAAAACATGATGAATCCTTCTCTGTGATTTTTTCTCCCCGAACGTGAATATATGGAGTTGGAGTTGAGGTCGGTGGAGCTTCAGGGGGCCCATGAGGCAGGGGGGCGCGCCCTAGGGGGGGGGGGCGCCCCCCACCATCGTGGACAGGGTGTGGGCCCCCTGACATTGATTCTTTCGCCAATATTTTTTATTAAATCCAAAAAGTTGCTCCGTGGATTTTCAGGTCAATCCGAGAACTTTTATTTCTGCACAGAAATAACACCATGGCAATTCTACTGAAAACAGTGTCAGTCAGGGTTAGTTCCATTCAAATCATGCAAGTTAGAGTCCAAAACAAGGGCAAACGTGTTTGGAAAAGTAGATATGACGGAGACGTATCAACTCCCCCAAGCTTAAACCTTTGCTTGTCCTCAAGCAATTCAGTTGATAAACTGAAAGTGATAAAGAAAAACTTTTACAAACTCTATTTGCTCTTGTTGTTGCAAATATGTAAAGCCAGCATTCAAGTTTTCAGCAAAGATTATGAACTAACCATATTCACAATAGCACTTAGGTCTCATGTTTACTCATATCAATGTCATAATCAACTAGCGAGCAATAATAATAAATCTCGGATGACAACACTTTCTCAAAACAATCATAATATGATATAACAAGATGGTATCTCGCTAGCCCTTTCTGAGACCGCAAAACATAAATGCAGAGCACCTTTGAAGATCAAGGACTGACTAAACATTATAATTCATGGTAAAAGAGATCCAGTCATAGTCATACCCAATATAAATTAATAGTAATGTATGCAAATGACAACGATGCTCTCTAGCTGGTGCTTTTTAATAAGAGGGTGATGACTCAACATAAAAGTAAATAGGTAGGCCCTTCGCAGAGGGAAGCAGGGATTTGTAGAGGTGCCAGAGCTCGACTTTGAAACAGAGATAAATAATATTTTGGGTGGCATACTTTCATTGTCAACATAACAACTAAGAGATCTTGATATCTTCCATGCTACACACATTATAGGCGGTTCCCAAACAGAATGGTAAAGTTTATACTCCCCCACCACCAACAATC